AAATTCAGGATGATCTCGCTCAAGAAAACCAAGTACTAGTTGATGGTGGAAACCAGCCAGAGGATGTTAAAGAAATCCTGAAACAGAATTCTAGTGCATTTAAAGATGTAACCAAGGGATCTTCACATAGAGAAACCAATTGGGTTCAGGTCAAACCCTTCAAAGGTGAAGAGGATGAAGACCCAATCAAGTGGATTGAGGTCTTTGAGCGAGCCGCAGATGCAAATAATTGGGGAGAAGAGAGTAAAGTTAAGATTGCCTTGGGCTATCTATCCAAAATAGCGGCTAATTGGTATAAGAGGAAGAAAAATGAGCTGCAGTATTGGGATAATGCTGAAAACTTGGATGCCAGCTTCAAGAAACAATTTGTGGATTACTTCGCTATGCCAGAACGATGCTATAAGTGGCAGGTAAACTTGGACAACTTAGAGCAAGGAGACAATAAGCGTGTAGATTCCTACGCTTATAAATTTAAGCATTTGTTGTTTAAAGTTGATGCTAATAAAGGCATTCCGGCTCCTTACGTTGTGAGGATGTTCCTAAAAGGGCTTTGAGGAAACATTGCGGCACTTTTGTCTTTGGCAGAACCGAATAATCTTTACAATGCTATTGTAATAGCCCAGAGGATTGAAGCAGGTAGCCATTATGAAGATAAGAAAGAGGCTAAGTCAGTCTTAAGGGTGGAAAAAGAATTGGAAGATTTAACCCTTAAACTAAAGCAAATGGCGGCTAGTTATGAAAAACTCACTACCACTCTAGCTGCTACGATGGATGCCCATCCCACCCAGGATAGACTGCCTCGGCCACCAAATTCTAAAATTATTTGCTTCAATTGTGGTGAGCCAGGTCATATCATATATCTAGGAATTGTCAGTCCGAAAGGAAGTCAAATGACCAAAGAAACTCCATCCAGCCCACACAAATTCTTTCCCATCCCAGCAATATTAACTATTATAGGATAGAGGATAAGAATTACGTTAAAAGTGAGGTTTTGGCTAATGACCAAGCCCGGTATCAACCTTATGCTACTCAAAAAGGGCTAAGGCCGGTAAAGAAGTTCAAGTCAAAGTGGGGGAATAGGTTGAGGCGACGTGAACCAGAAGAACAGCCCCAAGAACCATTGCCAATGAATGAAAAGCCGTATATCCCAGAGGAGCCAACTGTGACTCACTCTAAGTATAGAATGGGACTATCTAGGGTGGATAACCTTGAACCATATAATGTTGTTTAAGACTTGTTAAACACTAAGTCTAGTGTCACTATAGGGCAAATGTTAAAATACCCTAACTAATGCCATAATCTTGCCCAAGCCCTTCGTTATCCTAGGTTACCTGTAGAGACTAATTATGCCCAACCCAAAGAAAATTTAAGGACCACAGCCGCCTGGTGTTATGTAAAAATTAGAGGAAATCCAGTAGTAGCAATCCTAGACACCAGTGCAGCTGTTAGTTTGGTTATCAAACCTTTGGCAGATAAATTGGGACTTAAGATTGGAGTACCTTCTAATACTGTGGTAATCACAGCCACAGGGGCCTGTGAATGAACGTTGGAGAAGATTGAAAACTTAAAAATGGTTGTAAGTGGCCTTTTGGTTCCAATAACCTCCAAGTAATTGATTTCTGGGATGAAATGTTGTTGCTAGGTACCGATTAGTTCCAGAAATCAAAGGCCCTATGCACTTTGATGAAGAAAAGTTATATCTGACTTATCAGGACCAAACAACCCGCTTGGCTATATCACATGTTGGGGAATATCAGCTTTCGAAGCCTGATAATGAAAGTAACAATGAGGACCTCTTTGATGAATTAGAATTTGAGGATGAACTGCTAGAAGAAGCTGAGGGCTATTATACCAGTGAGGCCTCATCGGAAGAAGAGTTACATGTAAACCCTTGGGATGGAGCACAAAGTTATGCGGCTATAGAAGAGGTTCCGGTGGGGCATTATGACGAAGAAAATAAAGAAAAAAAAGAATTGTGTGAAATATAGAAAAAGGCACTAGATGAATTAGTAGCCCAGGAAGAAATAGGTAACAAGGGCCAGAAACAAGCTGAATGGTTATTTGCTAAGTACAAAGATATATTTGCTAGAAGATTAGAAGATTTAGGGCAGACTAATATTGTTCAGCATTATATCAACATGGGTTCTGCATCTCCTATCAAGCAGGCGGCCTATCGATTAGCTCCTAGTGAGCAGGAGTTTTTACAAGAAGAGGTTCGAAAAATGTTGAATACGGAATTAATAAGGGAGTCCTATAGCCCATGGTCATCTCCAGTGGTGTTAGTCCCCAAGAAGAATGGAAAATTACCGGTTTGTATTGATTATCAAAAAATCAATACAGTAACAAAGAAGGACGCCTATCCTATTCCAAGAATAGATGATATGCTAGAGACATTCGGAATGCCTCTTGGTTCTCTAGTTTAGACTTGGCTAGTGGGTACTGGCAAGTCTCTGTAGCCGAACAAGACAGGAAAAAGACGGCCTTTGTTACCAAGTTCGGGGTGTATGAGTTTAATGTTATGCCTTTGGTCTCTATAACACCCGGCTACGTTTTAGTGGCTGATGAACTATGTGCTAAAGGAGTATATTGGGCAATTTGTTACCGTCTACCTAGATGACATTACTGTCTACTCTAGAACTTTCTGGGAACATATGGAACATTTGGAAAGGGTCTTTATCAAGCTTCAGAAAGCATGATTAAAATTAAATTAGAAGGTCATTAAAGTTTCTAGGCCATGAAATTACTAGGAATGGAATTAGGCCGGATAATGAAAAGGTCATCAAAGTTCAAGAATACCCAGCACCGAAGACTCTGCGCCAATTGAAAGGATTTTTGGATCTATCATCCTACTATAAGTGGATTATTAAGGGTTTTGCCTCTCTTGCTTAACCCTTATATTACCTACTTCAGAAAGACGTGCCATATAATTGGGGCGAGCCTCAGCATAAGGCATTTAAAACATTGAAGCGCCATTTGACTACTGCCCAAATTTTACAGTATCCAAATTTTGAGAAAACATTCTACTTACACACGGATGCTTCAGGGATAGGTCTTGGGGCCGTGTTGTCCCAAAAAATAGGGAGCACGTGATTGCATATGCTAGCCGAAGTTTAAGTCATGCCAAGTAAAACTACTCTACCACTGAATTGGAATGCCTGGCATTAATTTGGAGAATTGAGTATTTCCACTTTTATTTAGGCATTAAGCCTTTTGTAGTAATCACGAACCATGCCGCTCTTAAATGGTTGGAGATATCGAAATTGAAAGGAAAAAGAGCAAGGTAGATCCTCCGGCTCCAATCATACATTTTTAAAATCGTACATAGGAGTGGTCAGGTGCACTCTAATGTAGATGCACTATCCCATCTCCCCGAAATAAATGATAATGATAAAGAAAACTGGCCAGAAGAAGCTAGGGAGGTTTTTAAAGTTGATGTTATATGTATAGAAGATAGTAAAGATGAATGGTACTCAGAAAATGAAGATTATAAAGAGGACTATGAGGATAAAGGGGATTACGAATCTGAGGTAGAAGAGATGGATTATGAAAGGACTGATAGTATAGAGGAACACGTGGGAGGTGGATAAGAGTGAAGTAGTGGACATGAATCGGCGGGAACAAGGGTATGAACAATTATTACATGATTTTGAAGTAGAATCAGGCCGTAGATTGTTATGGGAAGGCCATAGTGATATTGCTCAACAGTGGTGGGAATATAAGAATGGAAAAGGAGCTGAAATGTCACTTTCCCAGGATGAAGTATACTTAGTGGACGATTTAAGGGCTATCCAGGGTAAAGAAAGCTTTTCTGATGTAACCCAGATGGAATGGGAGCCCAAAAAAATGTTCCTTGGCCCCTTACACCCGAAGAAGTTATAGAAGCCTCGGAGGAAGAAAATGACCCCAAGTATGAGGATGATGAAGGATTATCTGATGGTAATTATTCTTCTTCTTCACAATGGGAAATGTCAAATGACGATGAGTCCCAAATAGAAGTTGTAATAAACAGTAGATCAACAAGTCTAACCACCCCAGAGGAAGAAATCTTGACCGAAGAGTGGAAGGTCTTGCAGACCAAGTAAAACAAGAGGATGCAATGATGGATGAATTTATCAAATAGCCAAAAGATGACCAGGAAAAAATCTTTGAGCCACAAGTCATTGATATCGGCACAAAAGGAATTAGTATTGAAAAGGATAAATAGGCAATGAATATGGACGTGCCTATATATATACCTGTCTTTCTTTTTACTAAGTTAACTCCTTGAAGACGCCAAAAATTGGTCTTTGCAGGGAAAACTCAGCGCTTCAAAAGTGAGTTCTTTTCCTATGACTATCCTACCCTTAATGGCCATATAGTAGCCCGGGAGCTCACTTTAAGGGAGGCCGTATATTGGGTAGATTTTTATGGCTATCCTTTAATTGCCAATAACCCAAATAAATTACTAATCCTGCAAAACCGGATGCAAGATGAAGTACGACAAAGTGAAGCCCGGCAGTTAATGGCTTTATAAACCGGCATTGATCCTGGGTGTGACCGAAGACTTGTAAATGATAATGGTGTTTTTATCTTACTTGTGGAAATCGAGTTGGATTAGTAAACGCATATAAATACCAATATCCTTTTTCTTTTAATATCTTAATGTTATATGACCTCCCAGATATTCATGTTCTCGGGATCATATGACCGAAAAAAAAAAATTAGGTACTTTAGTAACACCATCTGAATTTTATTTAGTTTTTTCTGAATCACAAACCTAACATTAGTAAGGTTGGTTAGGATGGGGTAGGGCGAGTTGGGGCCCTATTCACTTGAGAAAAGATCGATGAAAACTTGATCCGCAAAGGATCAGTTGCCGATTGGGGTATTAAATTAGGAAGAGTTCAATAGGGACTAAGTTTGGAAAATTAAAATAGAATACAAAAAAAAAAAAGTGTATTGGAAGAAAATGATGAGAGTTGAAGTTTAGATTTTTGGTTATAACCAAATACTAAGGCATTTCTCTGCTATCAAAAATCTTCTGAGAAGATGCGTAATGAATGACCCTAAGAATTGGTCAAATGAAAATAATGGCGGCATTGAGGAAAATCGATCAATTGAAGAATCCTCTGTGTGGAATTTCCTAATGGCATAAATCCGACGTTAAGCAAAAATTCGGACCAGGTAGTTGGTGTCCTAGCACAAGAAGTACTAAGACGGATTCAGAAAGATTTAATCAATTAAAGCGCTTTTTTCAAGAACAATATATTGATCCGAGATTGTCCAAGAAAGAAAGAAGAAGACTTATAAATAATGGGTAGATGTTCTTCTTGAAAGATGTGATTATTTTCCAAAACAATAGCAGAAACTCAAATAAGCCGTTGAGGGTTATTCAAACCCAAGAAGTAGAACCAGTGTTATATCTGGTTCATGATCACCCACTAGGAAGTCATTTAGGGATCGAAACCATGTTTGAGAAAATATGGCAACTCTATTACTGGCCTCAATCATATGAACGAATGCGGGAGTATATGAAGTCTTGTGACCAATGTCAACGACAAGATAAGCCCCAGCTGACTACTCCCTTACACCCTATACCAGTCATGGCTCCTTTTTATCAGGTTGGTATAAATATTGTAGGACCACTACCTATCACATCTAGAACAAGTAGGTACATAGTGGTGGCAACAGATTATATGACTAAATAGCCAGAAGCTAAAGCTATTAGTTCAGCAAATGCTCAGGAAGTGGCCGATTTCCTGTATAATAAAATAATTTGCCGTCACGGGTGCCTCGAGTTGATTCTGTCAGATCGAGGAACTTATTTCTGAAATAAGCTAGTTTGGAAATTACTAGAAAAGTTCCAAACTAAGCATGTCTTGTTGACGCCATACCACCTCCAGACAAATGGGCTGGTAGAACAGTTTAACCGGACCCTGTGTGAGTTTATTGCCAAAACCGTAGAAAATGTAGTAGACTGGGATCTAATTATCACATCCATATTGTTTGCTTATTAAACTTCAAAGCATTCTACTACAAAGATAACGCCATTCTACCTAACATATAGTCGAGATGCAAGACAGCCCATTCAATCAAACGAAAGTGTTGGAGAAACTATGGCCCAAAGAGTTCGAGAGCTGGTAGATACGTTACCAGTAATCTGCCAAGCTGCCATTTTTCAAGTACAAAAGGTGCAGAATAGGCAAAAACAGCTTCACGATAGAAAAATTCAGAATATTACTGAATTTGGAATAGGAGAAAAAGTATTGGTGTACCGTGCATCCTGACAATATAATCATAGCGTAAAGCTTGAACCGAAATGGTCAGGCCCATACTACATTCATCAGGTTTTTGACTGGAATGTAGTCAAGTTGCGCACAATGAAAGGTCAAGTCATATCAACCCCAATTAGAACTAGTCTAATTAAAAAGTGTAGAGATCGTCAAAGGGATACTGAAGGAGGAAGAATATTAAATTAAGGTGTATATTGCGTAATGGAAAGAAGTAAGGGACGAATGATGTTTTGATAATAAGGGTGTGATTAAAAAAAAAAAAAAAAAAGAAAAGAAATACATATATTATAAATAGTAGATCGAAAGAAGGTTTCTTTTTTTGTATATATATAGCCAAGGTCAAAACTTCGATCCATTTTATCTTTACAACTTCTAAAAAAAAAAAAAAAAAAAAAATGGACATCCACGCAATCATTAGAGATATAACCTCTCCCGTCCCTTCTAGTGTTCTTGTAACTCCACCTCCATTTGTAGCGCTACCTCCATTTACAGAGACCCATGATCTTGTAGAAAGCATGGACGCAACTCATACGGCCTTGCTGCGGGCCATTCGATTGAAAAATAGAATCGAAACGTTGGTATTGGCCTACTACCTTGGCATGTTATTTGTAACTGCCACTCCCACTCAGCAAGAAGCCATCCGAAGACAAGTAACTCGACATTATTACCTTGCGGCTAGGCGTGTCTATGATGTATTTGCTCCTCTTGGCGTTTAGCGAATTTATGGCACCACTATGGTTACTTTTAATACATTTAGACTGCTATTGAATGAAGATCTCCAACAATTAATCCTCTAGTGTTTGTGGAACTCACATTTTAAGTCGGGGGTATTGTAATCCGGGAAACTCAGAACTTCGAAAATTTCAATTTTAGGCCAGTTAATTACGTATGTGCCACAGAAGCCTATTTTTGGTTAGCAACGATCTTTGATTTATTTGGGTTAAAGACTTTTAGGAGCGATTTGTCTTAAAAGTCTTAAAGGTCTTAAAGGCAGGGTATAATACTTTTAAGACTTAAAAGTCTTTTCTTTATTTTATGTATTTTAATAGTTTATATTATTATAAGACTTA